GAAGAACTTTGCGAGAAAATAATTAAAACATCCAGTGCGGCGCGACGGGACGCGCGCATCTTAGTTTTTACGTCCATTATATAGTATGGAAACTTGCAAATATCTCGAAAAGTACGAATTTTCGTAAAAAATGTTTAAGACAAAAGTTGTTCCAAACAAGAAGATCTACATATTTGAGACCAACAAATTGGGCGGGGGCCCAATGTTGGGCCATACAATGAAAAAAGTGTTTTTCTTAAATAAGACCACTAATTTTCAGTATCAAGTTCGTAATCCCTATGAAATTCTGCGTTCAGACATGTTGTATAAGTGCCCAAAATATTGGTCCCAATGTCTGAGATTAGGTCCAACAGTTTTTGACAAACAAATAAATTAATTTTAAAAAATCTTATCTTTGGGGTTTTTGGGGTCACAGAATTAGAAATTCGAAGCTAATTTTGAAATTGGGCACGGAGCCCAATGTGAGATTCCACGGCCCAATCTCATATTGGCCCACAGTAAAGAAATTAGTTTTCTTAAATAAAACCCACTAATTTCCAGTATTCATTTCGTAATCGTTATGAAATTCTGGGTTAAGACTTGTAGTACAAATGCCAAAAATATTGGGCCAAATGTCTTAGTGGTCTTATTTAAGAAAAACACTTTTTTCATTGTATGGCCCAACATTGGGCCCCCGCCCAATTTGTTGGTCTCAAATATGTAGATCTTCTTGTTTGGAACAACTTTTGTCTTAAACATTTTTTACGAAAATTCGTACTTTTCGAGATATTTGCAAGTTTCCATACTATATAATGGACGTAAAAACTAAGATGCGCGCGTCCCGTCGCGCCGCACGGGATGTTTTAATTATTTTCTCGCAAAGTTCTTCCTGTCCCATTATGAAAATTAGAGAAATTATTCTTAACATCAAAGGCATTAAGCAGAAAAAAAAAATTTTTTAAATGGAAGAGGTAGTTTTTTCAAAAAATGAATTCAAAAATTTTTTTTGACTTTTTTCCGGGCAAAAAAATTTTTTTTTCATGAACTATTTTTTTCTTCAAATAGCATCTTTTTGTGAGAAATTTGATAAAAAATTGATCTCATATGATAACAGGAAAAAAGTTACATGGTTTTTTTAAAAAAATGACATAAATTTATAATTAGAGATATCTCAAAAAATTTTGAAAAATTGTTTGTGGGCTTTCATTCTGTACTAATAACGGAACATATTCACAAGGTTTCAATAAAATTACTCCAATCATCAAAAATTCTTGTGATCACATCACATGGAATATTTTGTGATTTAATTTGAATGAAGCACCATACTAGGTGTTTTCAAAATCGCTAATTATAAATTTAATGTCAAATTGACAATTTGACAGTTGACAGCTGTTAATGCAACAGTCGAAGTTTCTAAAAAATAATTATATTTAACAAAATTGACGTTGAATGGATTTTCGGGGTCGCTCATTACGATTATGATGTCAAATTGACCGTTGGAAGCTGTCAATTAAACTGTCAACTTTTCTAAAAAGTAATTATTTTTAACGAAAATGTCAATAACAGGGTTTTTCGGGTTGCTGATTACGAATATGATGTCAAATTGACAATTATTGGTCATTATATTTGAAATCAACAACCCTGAGAAACCCTCGTATACTGTCATTTTTGTTAAAAATAATCACTGTTCAGAATAGTTGATTGTTGAATTGACAGCTGTCAACTGAAAAACTGTAAATTTGACATCATCTTCGTAATCAGCGTCCCTGAAATCCTTTATAATATCATTTTTGTTAAAAATAATCCCTTTTTAGAAATGATTATACTTTTATATTCTGAAAAAAATAAGCGAAATCCCATTGAAAAATGTTAATATTTAAAAAAGCATTATTTATTTTTTATATTAAATTTCATTAATCAAAATTATATTTTAATACATTATAATAAAAATAATAATAATTAATAATTATAACAATTAATATCACAATATTCCATAATATATTCCATTGCTTTATTTGAAATAATCCTTTGGAATGTCCCTTTGGAATATTATAGGAATATTCTTGTAATTTACACCTATTCAACACACTTGGAAAAAAGTAGAAAATTACTTTTTCCTTCATTTTTTTCTAGATATTTTCATTATACTCACTGTTTCTAAACAAATGCGCGTATCGCTTCGGTATTAATACAAAAACAGTGTACTGTCAACATACAAGTTTGACCATATTCAGATCAGCAATATCTATTTGCTGTCAAAAATTACGTAGGGGTTCCCACAACCGGAAGGTGCCCACAACCGGCAGTCTTCCCTTATCAATTGAAAGCTGACGTAATTTCGCATCCAATTTGCCCTATATGGACTATTTTGGATTAGAGGATTATTTATAAACAATTGCTATGTTAGCCAATTGTTTATTAACAATATACAAATCCAACGCACTTTATATAGGACTCGTTGGATGCGGAATTATGTTAACTTTCATTTATTAACGTCAGAATTACGATAACTTTATTTGTTTATAAAACATATCATTTTTTATTAACCTTAATAGTTAATTAATTAAGTAAAAATTTTGAGGTTGAAGAAAATTGATTTTTTTTTGAGGCTCAGTCATATTATAATATTTTTATAAATCACTTATATATTTTTTATAGATAGTGAGAAAGTTAACGATTTTTTTATATACTTTTATAACAAAGGAGAAAAGATCACAATGATTGAAAAGTACTTAGGTGCTAAATTGTAGATGTGCCTTTAAAAAATGTGATTTTTTATAATGAGTTTCGCTTGGAAATTTAAAGTTTGACGTGGTCGCATTTTTTATGGATAGGTGGCACACATTCGGGTTAAGGTTCAAATTACTTCTTATCTTATAGGTAATGTACCCCTGTTGTGTGGTGTTTTAAAAACCAATGTTAAAAAAATTATCTAAGGTTGATTGCTGAATTGTCAACTATAAAAAAAAGTTATCTCGCAAGTTTGAAGGTAAATAATTTTATTCCTCCGTGAGGCACATCATTAAGTTAAGGATTTTTCATTTGTTTACATCCCCAAATACATCCACAAAAAACCACAGACCATAATAAAAAATGTTAAAAATGTTTCAGCGTTAAAACTGAAAAAATGTAGTGAGTTCGCGCACCAAAAACAGGCAAATTCACTACTTTTATTTACTCTCATTGTTTTTTACATATTTATAATAAGTAATAAACACTTGTTACATGTAAAACGAACAAAAATTTGTTGAACTGTGGTGTTGAAAAGTTATATTTAAAATATTTAAGGTATCATAATGAACGACAACATAAAGTTTAAAAGTTCTAGAACAATGCCCATATATGTTTTCCAAATGTTTTTTTGTGCTCTTTCGATTGATAAAAAAAAATTTTATAAAAATCAAAATTTGACACTTTTTTTCTGAAAATCAAAAATTTTTTTGACTTTTTTTTAAGTTCGGTCTTTTTTTTAAATTTTTTTTATTTTTTTTTTTTTGAAAGTTGAAAATGCGCATTTTTATCTCAAAAAATATTGAGATGTCCTTTTTTGTTTTTTTCGAGATATTAGTTAATTAATTAATTATTTAAAAAAAAAATTATTTAACAATAAAATTATGTATGTATATACAAAATTCCGCATCCAACGAGCCCTATATGAAGTACTTTGGGTTAGTGGATAGTTAATAAACAATTGGCTAACATGGCAATAGTTTATAAAAAATCCTCTAATCCAAAATAGTCCATATAAGGCTCGTTGGATGCAAAATTACGTCAGCTTTCAAGTGGTACCTTTAGGATTGCAATAACTTTATTTATTTGTGAAATATTCTGTTCAATTCTTGATGAATTGAAATTCAATTATGTGCGCGTAAAATCAGAGTGACGATAGTGACCGCGCGCAGCAGCACCTCTCGGCGGTGCAACCTTCGATTCGTTGTTCCGCGCATCGATCTTGTTCCTTTTCAGTACTAGAAGGATTTTTCGACAGGTGGTTCGTCTCGCGACGCATTAGTTAATAAAATCTATCTAAGTGCGAATAATTGCAATTATCTAACGTTTCTGTTTCATAATATCGTTTTCAATAATAAGGTGTATTTCTCAACGTAGTTTTATTTCAAATATAAGGTTAAATTCAATTTAAAGTCAAGGAAGTTTCTCACCAAAAAAAGCGTGTTCAGACCAGCATGGCTGCCGCCTGAATCTTATTCAAAGACAATTAAAAGGACATTTTAGGAATTTCTCATTTTTTCTCAATATAATTTTTTAACTTGGTTTAATAATAAATATCCTATTTTTTTGTGAATTTAAATTAAAACATTTGTCGCATTTTTTGAATGGACCTATTTTCACACGAACCAAGGCTCTTCTCGCAACATTTTTTGGTCCTTCGAGCCGGATGGTCCGTGCAAAAAAGTGCTAAAGTGTAAGTGTTGACCAAGTGACTTTCTCTCGGTCGTGCTTCACGGGGGTGACGAGCCTCGCGTTGACTTTCAGTGTGCGCCATATTGGTTTTTTCTTCCCATTTTCTAGGGACTACTCGGCCTTACTTGTGCGTGTTTTTTTTACTAAAATTTTCTCAAGCACGCTCGTGCATTCGCATTTTCGTGCAAGAAACTGTAATTTCTCTCTCTTTTTGTCTATTCTCTCTCGTTTTTTTCATCGTCTGAGAAATGTCGACCGCGGAGGACGATGAGGTGTTCAGGGATGCTACGGAAAATCCTAATAAGGACAATCTCAACAAGGATGTCGGGGAATTAAACAAAGAAAACTCAACCGATCAAACCAAGGTAATTTCAACTGATCCGACCAAGGAAAAGGTCCATCTCAATCCCAACGTCATTATCAACCCCCCATCAAGGTCACCCTCACTCACATCGGTAAATTCGGCTCTGACAATTGAATTCGTCCAAATGAAGTTGGACATTTTCCAAGAACACTGGGACGAGTTTTACAAGCTTCACGATGAACTAATCACTAGCAGTTCGGCTTAATTTCTGCGGCATCCGTACGTTCAAGACGGAATGTTTGAACGGTGCTTGCAGTCTTACAATAAAACAAGGCAAGCGATGCTTCTCCAAGTATGCAAGCTCAAACGTGCCAATGCCGCGACCGTTTCTGGAGCCACCTCTGTCACAGAAGTGAGATCAGCCAAGAAACTCCCAAGGATTTCTCTTCCTCAATTCTCTGGCGATTATTCATCGTGGCAATCATTCAAGGATCTTTTCTCGTCGACGATTAAGGACGATAATGATATTCCAGCCGTGGAGAAGATGCACTATCTCCGGTCCAGTCTCACAGGGGAGGCTGGCAAGTTGATCTCCAATATCCCTATCGCGGCTGATTCCTTCAAGTCGGTCTGGGATACTCTGGTTGCAAGGTATGAGAACAAAAGGTTACTAATCACATCTTATATGGATCAGCTCTTCGCAACCCAGGTTCTCCGGTCAAGGTCGGCTCAAGGATTAAATTCTCTTTTGACATCCACAACGGAAGCTCTCAACGCTCTTTCGGCTCTGGGGATTCCAATTGACAAATGGGATCAAGTGCTGGTTCATCATATCACTAAAAGGCTCGATTCTCACACCAGAGAATGATGGGAAGTCAAACTCGGATCAAAGTCGGACCCCCCCACCTACGCTCAACTTAAGGACTTCCTCACTGGTCGAGCTCGAGCTTTGGAGAGTATTTCAAGTTATTCTCAAGCGGCAAAGAGCCAATTAATATCCACATAATTATTTATTACTAACGTCGGCAACAATATAACGACCAGCCCGGTAGGCAGCGAATATGCTTCTGAGTGACGAATTTGTCAATCACACCAATTTCCTTATCTAATCACTCATTCACACACTCACACCTGGAAAAGGGAGATAGAGGGGGCCCTTAGGCGGTACCCCCACACTATTTTCCTTAGATAGAAGAGGAAAACCGATTTTAAACAAAGACATTCTTATGTTATTTTTTTGTGATAGATGAAGAAAGAAAAGTGTTAAATTTTTGCGTTAGATGACAGAGAGAATCTTATGCTGTTTTTAGGGTTCCGTACCCGAAGGGGGAACCCTATTAATGAGACTAGTGAAGCAAGGCATGTACCCCCCCCCCTAGCGACTACAGGAATTTATCTAGGAGGTTAAAATTTGGTACACATATGTATTTTGGCGTGTAGATTACAAGAAAAATATAGCGAATCTCATAGGAATTGATTATCATAGCGTTGTCAAGGAAAAACCATGAATTTTTACGAAAAATCCCTAAAAATGACTATGTACCCCCCCTTGGTGGCTACATTTTTTCACATAGAGAGCTCAAATTTGGTACACTTATGTATTTTTACGTGAAAATTACAGGAAAAATATAGCGAGCATGATTCGTATCGATTTACATAGCGTTGTCAAGGAAAAATCAAAAATTTTGAAAAAAAGCGTTTAATCCTCCTAGCGCACACACTATTTGACCAAGACAGTTCATATTTGGTATACATGCGTATTTTTGCGTATAGATTACAGGAAAAATATAGCGAGCACGTATGGAATTGATGATCATACCCAGTCGAAAATCGTAAGTTTCCATGAAGGGTTCACATGGCCTTCAGGTAACTGTTATGAAGGTTTTAAAAGCTTCATGGCAACTATTTATACATTAGACCTAAAATTCTGTGATATTTGCTTTCTGACTTATTAACGGGAAGCTTTTTCTACAGCTTGTTGAATATCTGTGGACAGCTTCTAGCAAAAGGTCTACCAGTTTGCTTGGTGAATGCTTTCCTAATGCCTGGTTTAATGTGTAAGAAAGCAATTCTATTTGCTTTTCACAAGTTGCAAATTAATATGTAATTTAATTACCTTTTTTACACTTTCTGAAAACTAGAATAATTTCATTAAATTAAACTATATCGAAAAATCATAAAAATTCTATAGTAATTTGTAAATCCGTTTTATACAATTAATAATTATTCTTTATATATTATATAAAAATTATTTTTCAAAGAAAACGTTTATTTTTAAACACTTAAATTATATACGAAAAAAATTATATATAACTTGAGCAAAATTTGGGGTTAGGAATACGAACACGGTGAAAACTTTTTATATTGAATAATGAATACAATTTCTTAAAAAAAAGACAAAATATTTAATATTTAAAAAAAAAGATTATTATTTTTATACTTGATATTTATTAATATTTTTTATAAATAATATATTCTTTATTCTTTTAGAATTTCATAATTTATGAAAATGAATTTAACAGCGTATTGTTATTTACAAATTTTGGTTGACAACAATATTTTTACGAGATAAATAAAGATGGAAAGAAAGGTTAAATTTAATTTTTGATCATTGTCATTTTTCCGCTGTTTCCTGAAACATCCATGACGCTTCATTTAATTTTCGCCACCTGAACGCTTTCTTTTTACATATGCAAAATCCTGCAACTCTTTGATAACTCTGTCAAAGCTACTTGAATGCTTTGTTTAAAACGTACAAAATTTGTTATTTTCAAGCTTTCCGTGGAAGCGAAAAATCGGCCATAACAGGCTTCCTGAAAGTTTTCTATAGCTAGTTATCTACTGTCTCACAATTCTCTAATGGTTATCTCAATACTTCAAAACAACTTTTTGTTCAGCTTAACATAGCGTAGGATTTTCGACTGGGTATTGTTTTTAAGGAAAACTCATATTTTTAGAAAAAATCATTGATTTTTCGAATAAAAAAAGAAGAAAAAATTATCTCAAGGGATTCAAATTTATACATTTTTACGTATTTTTACGTGAAGATTACAAGAAACTTATAGTGAGCATGATTGGAGTTGATAATCATAGCGTTTTCAAGGAAAAACTGATAATTTTCGATGTATGTGACTATGTTTCTATCTATGTGTTTTCATGCTCACATTACAGGGAAAATTAAGGAAAATTGGAATTTTTCCACCTGCCTTCACTCTTTAACTCCCTTAAATTTGAGGTTTAAGGGTACGGAACCCTCGATTTTAATAGGAGTGTAACTCACGCTTGTCCGATTTTTTTTCTAAATAGAGTGAGTTAGGCAATCCTATTTATCGCTACCTGAGTAAAGAGAGAGAGACTTCGGCTTCCCCTCTTGTGATTGTTCCGCAATACATGAGTTTTTGGGTGTCGACCGTCATTAAAAAGGGTCTATTGTTTTCTAGAATTTTAGAAAAACGTTGATCTAAAAATTTTTATTTTAAGTTTTATAACAACGTATGATTCCTTACTATGAAATGAGTAAATATGCAAATTAGGTAAAGGAAGACTTCAAAGAGTTAAGGAATGTCTATAATAAACATAGACATATACATATAAACATTATTACATTATTACTTTATACATACATAATACAGTTAAGATAATGCAGTTAACTATGAGCACGAGATCCCTCTATTCTTTCGGTTTCTTGTCAATATAATTTTATTATTTGTCATTAGCAACCCTACTGAAAATCCCTGTATAAGATCTTGTACAATTTCCTGTACAGGATCAGCAACTGAACTTGTACAAGTTCTGACCAGTTCCTGTACAGGAAAATGCATACGAATTTGGAACAAGTTCATGTGTGAGATCTTGTACAAGATCTGGTGCAAGAAATATACTTGCACAAGAAAATGTACAATTTCATGTATAAGTACTTGTACATGAACACGTTCATGGTCTTGCACATGTATAGTTGTAAAATTTTTTTTTTAATAAAATTTGAGATTTCGATAATTTTTAACCACTAAGATTCGTAACTCATGCATGGTAAAAACTATTGCGCAGCTGTAAAGGTTAAAGTAAACTATTGCGCAGCCTTTGAAGTTTTAAATTTTTAGTAAAGAAAAACTTGAATTAACATGTGCAAGAACATGGACGTGTTCATGTACAAGTACTTATACATGAAATTGTACCAGATCATATACATTTTCTTGTACAAGATCTTGCACCAGATCTTGTACAAGATCCCACACATGAACTTGTTCCAAATTTGTATGCATTTTCCTGTACAGGAACTGGTCAGAACTTGTACAAGTTCAGTTGCTGATCCTGTACAGGAAATTGTACAAGATCTTGTACAGAGATTTTCAGTAGGGAAGCACCATAAGCAAATGATAGTAAATCTTTTTTATGTGCAATGGTTATTTTCGAATACATAACGTCTTTAAGGCAATAGTTAAAATACTACTTTTATGTATTGAAAACTTTATACGCGTTTTTCTTGAAACGTATTTTTTCGCCCGCCGTGCAATATAACTCAAACAATTTTTAACTGATTTTAATCAAACTTACCACAAATATTTTTCATGTTACTGGCTATTGCATGACGAGCTCCTTTTTAAAAGAAATTTTTAACAATTGTTTTTGACCATTGTTTATTAAAAAAGTGATTTTTTTTAAACTGGTTCCAAATTAAAAATTTTTTTTTTCAGTTTTCTCTTCATTATGCAAAGCGTGTTTGCGTATTTTAACGGTAAAAATTTTGATTTTTAATTTTAGTGGAGATTTGGGACCTGTAGGCTGCACGGCTTAAAATTAAATATTAAAATTCCTGAAAAAACGTGCATTTACACGAGTTTCCACCACGGAGGAATAGTAAGGAGACCGATCTTGCTGTAGTAGCGCTTCTGAAAATGTCAGAAAAACATGCACGATAAATGCCAGTTTCACTGCATTCTACTCAACCACCAAAGTAGCTAAGCATGCGCATTAGCCATGTGCTGTCTCTTTCTCTCGCAAAAAGTGTGCGAGTGAGATCTGGCTGACGTATATTTCTCAAGTCTTCCATGCGTGTTGTGATGAAGGAGTTATGTGTTATTATTGTTATTATTTTAATAATTATTATTAATGTTTATTTTAAAATGTCGTACTGTGTGCCAGGATGTAAGAAAAATCTTTTTCATGACATACATAATAAATAATATGTTTGTAATTACTATGGCTCCATTATTCTTTTAATAATTACTTCAATTTATTGACACTTTAAATATTCCAATAGCATACATTATTAAATACTTACACATGATTTTGGAGATACAATATCGCAATGGTAAATAAAATTTCTAAAATAAACACAGAACACTAAGATTTTTTGTGACATATATGAGGCAAAATTCCTGAAATGTCCGAACAAAAAATTAAAAGTTCTCGAATTTAATCCATACTTTTCTAAAATGTTTTTATTGTTGGTGAAAGTCTAAAAATCAATTATTATTGAATTTAATAAAATAGTTTTTGAATTACAACGTTTTTAATTTTTGACTTTTGAAAAAAAAATTTTTTTTCAATGTACAATATTTATAAGTAGAATGCATAAAAGTTAACCTTGAATTCAAGGTCAAAATGTTAATTTACGTTTATCTCAAAATCGGATTTTAAAAAAATTTTTTTAACTATCTCAATGGAAAGCTTGACTAATTTCCTACAAAACATGTAATTTTCAGAGTGGGATCTTTTAAAGTTTTTGAGATATTAATTAATTAATTAATTAATGTTAATAACAAATAAAATATTCTACAAACGAATAAAGTTACCGTAATTCTGAAGTTAGCAATTGAAACTTAACGTAATTCCGCATCCAACGAGCCCTGTATGAAGTATTTTGGA